ACAAAATTGTGTACAGAAATGCTGACCAAACAGAGCACATAGCGATTTTCTAGACTAAACAAATTGTTACTTGCCAAGAAGGTGAAACTGAATGGTCATCTTCGATACCAAAATCTGGATTTTAAAATAACATTGTTGGCAGCAACTTCTTAATCAAAATATACACAGAAACATATACAATTATTTGCGTAATAGAGGAAGGTAACAGACACCATTGAGAACATTAAGACTTTCACATTTTCAGTTTAATGGAAAGCTATTAGAGCTTCTTTCGTTCAAGAAGATAGAACATTCAATTGCATATACTACACTTGTTTCCACAGAGGCCAAGTAAATTAACACTGGAATGTCTATCACAAATATGCAGAAATGCATATACCACAAAAGAAGTATAGGCCACAGAAAATGTCTAAGAATCCAGAACGAAATCATAATGCGATAGTTTTTAAACTTAAAAAGCAATCCAGCCCAAATTTTGCTCATTCCATATTGGGATTGCATTTCCAAGCATTCGCAGCTCACGTTGAATCATACACACCTAACAAACTTTGTATGTAATCCAGCCCAATTTTTGCTCATTCCATATTGGGATGAGCATTTCCAAGCATTCACAGCTCACGTTGAATCATACACACCTAACAAACTTTGTATGTAACAATCTCATATAACTCAAATTGACGAGATCCATATTCCCATGCTGATGAACACAGTTTACCGCAACATGGAACAAGCAATCCTATATAAAGATAGCGTTTCATCAAAATCAGATCCACAGTCCAGGAAAACAGCACCTTCCAGCATCTGATTCTGGAAAAAATGATCAGTAACAACAAGACTCGGGAATGCTTAAATGATATATGAAGAAGATGTCATCAAATTATTATTAGATTGAAACCGGAGGTAAATATCATCCCTCTCTTTGGAGGAGCATTCTTATAATATGTACAGATAAGCATCGATCGAAATTTTCAGGAATCAAAAGAGAATCATACGCTAAAATGCACTATCAAATCAAAGTTTCAGAACTGGTGTGATTTATGAGCTGTGAAGCTCGGAACTCCTTACAGGGTGGATGATCGGTGTCTGATACATATCAAACACTCGGGATATGTGTTTGACAGGCCAAATGGTGTGTTATTTTTATGTATTTTATAAAATTTCGGACACACAAGCACATGCTTGAGACACCATGTGCCATGTCATATCTTGACAATGACATCACTCATCAGGATGTGTCCTCTGCACATTTATGTGATTGGAAAATACCAAGATAAAATGTCATTTTATTGCACAGTTTCTGGCTATACATTGTTGAGTTTTGATCTTTAAGAAAAATGAGGGCGTAAAGCATCATGCTAAGTCGTATTAGAATGGATAAAATAGAATGTGAGAATATATGCCAACTAGTGTTGTGTTGCTAATTACGGGGAGAACCACAGCCATAGTCGAGGCAAGTCTTGGATAGACTTGAAGAACGTTCCATTCTTAAAGAGTGATGTGATCACGGTAGAACATGTTAGAAGAGAATAGATCAAAATCAATAAGGTTGATGTAGTTGTAGAAGATTTATTTCATTGGATACTTGCCTTGGACTACCTACTGTTGCTTGCGAGATAAATATAATTCTGAAATTTAATCATGACTTATTCCTGTGAGTATTTAAATTAAGGAACAGATGTTTCTTAGTTTAGAGACCCTACGGGACGCTGGTTACTGTATGAGGAAAATTTATTTGGTTACTCTATTGAGTTTGAACGATTTGGCTCATCTAAGTTTCTTTCATTTTCCAGTGTGATCGTGTAATGGAATTTTGTTATAACAATGATCTTCAATTGATTATTCAGGCACATGAATGTGTGATGGATGGATGAGAAAGATTTGCTCAGTTGACTAATGGCACTCGTAGATCAGCTATTCTCTCTTTTTTTTTTCTTTGGTAGGACGTGATCTCTGGAGTTACAATTATCTTTCTTCGGTTTTGGGTCGAGATTTATTGGCGGTTCCAGAACTTATTAATCCATTGCCACCTGCATTCTCATCACCATAAACTTCTGATCACCATATAGAAGATACTTGGATGCGGGTGCTAATGTAATCTTGAACTTTCAGTTGTGATCATGTGTTCAGTCAGTTTCTTCTCGTATGGTGCTGAGATAATTTTACTTGTGATCTGTTGTCAAACAAGGAGCTTACTGCTAACAGACCACCCACGCCAACTAGAGGGCGCCTACAAGTTACTAATGACCAAGGTTCTATAGCTTGGATCTGGATCATGCTCCCAGGTGGTTTTCCTATACCTCTTCAAGGCTTATGCTGAAACCCTGAATTTCCAATAATTTGTACATAGCATGACACGTGTTAAGATTCCTGGAAAATCTGTATCCACTTGGGGCGGAGTGACTTGAATGCTTCGGACTCCATATCTTTCACACCCGAGAGATTGACAGAAGATAAAGAGGCAAGTTTGACACCATGTGCCCCAGCAAGTCGTCATGGTCTTTCAGCAGGTCGGAGTTCACAAAAAATTGTTCGTATACGAGGCTCAAACTTGTATAAGTTAGACCGTTCGTTATTTCTTCCTTGGGTGGGAAATTGGGTATTTCTTGTTAGTCCTATATACTCTTTTGTTCCTCAGGTAAGACTATTCTTTCCTCCTGCCTTTGGAGGACCCAAGCCCCCTTTACGTGATTAGTTAGAGATATACTGTGTTAAGATCGTGTTCATTCATGTATAACAGAGGTGTAATTTGTGTTTTCACTGTACAGGCATCGCTAAAGTGAAGATAAAGTACCTGTTTTCCCTTTGTTAAACGGTCCCTCGACAAGAAGCTGCAATGGTGGATCTCTCTCAGGACAACAATAGATATGAAAAGGCAATCTTGGTGCACCTTTTTTAGCTGAATTAATATTGTCACGAACAAGTTTTCAAGCATGGTACAGGCAAGACTATACTCTAGCAGCCATTACCACATTCATTCTTATAAACAGGTGATAAGTAAGAAGCCGTTACACCATACAGGTGGTTACACATCTCCGATTATGTCATTCATGTAACACCAAACATGGCATGTTAAATGGGAAGTATGATAATTGTAAGCGCTACACTTCCAGAGCCTTCTCACGCAAGTACCATAATCGGTCAATGATCAACGAGCAGGCATCCACGATGATCAACCTCTTTTCACAGGTCTTTGAACATAGGATTTGTTTGGATCCTCCGTCTTGAGCTTTGGAGGCCGAATCTCTCCCTTCTTGACCTGCACAAGTACAAAAATGAAATTGCTTTTGAAATGTAATAAACATTCCTTCCACAAGCAACCTAAATGAAACCAGCAGTCTAACCTTCTTTCCACCTTTCATAAAGTCTCTCCAACTGGAAACCTGATGAAAAAATAAAAGCAATCAACTACAAAGAAATGAAGCTCAATTCATGGAAGTAAGAATCCTATATCGAATCAAATGACCCACGAGATGTAACTTCTAGTCCAAATTCTATGGAAAAAAAAAAAGATGCAGATGTCCATGCAAATATCGAGAGAGATGCTACCAGAAGGCAAAGCATTGGGGAAGAGAATTTTGTTCAATTTTGACGAACACAGCAATGTTCAAATTCCTTACCCAGTGTTAAAAGGGCATAAAGTGGGGAAGGAAGAGAAATGTTGATCCACTAATGAAAGAAATGTCCACATATACTTTTTGCAGCAAGGCCAACCTAAAGGACATTTTTTCTAAAGTTCGACGACACAGTGGTCAACTTTATTTTCACAAAGGTGCACTGCATGGGTTTTAAATAGAGAAAGAAAGAATTAGTACTGAGGGCAAGATAGAGAATCATCCACAATTAACACCAAATATATTGATAGTTCCCTAATCAATCATACTGTGGGCCATACAGATGAGTTAATCATATTGCATGCTATTACAAGTTATAACATGTATAGTTCCATAAATTAGGTATATATGAAACTAACCCTCTGTTCTCTAGTTCCTTCCCATTGCTCCTCATGTTCACGCTTTCGTTTCCACATCTCTTTAGTTTCTTCCTCATCCTTCTTTAATCTACCTTCCTCCTCTGATATCTATAAAATTCAAAAATAGAATGTTTTATATTGAAAGAAATCATCAGAGGTAGAACAGGTGCGGTGGTGATCATACCCTCATCTGCATTTTCCTTCTCCTCCATTCTTGATCTGTTAAGAGTTCACGAACTTTTAGTTTTAGTTGCTTCTGGAATTCCTCTGACTGTTCATATTCTTGCTCGTATTTTCCCTGTATCATGTTTTATTGACAAATGAGCTGTTTGTTATCTAGTCAAGCATCTTGTTATAGTTATAAATTTCAAACACAAATTGGCAAGATGCATTCTCTTTCTACTTTTCTCTCTGTCTTGCAAATCAACAATAACATGTTAGTATGATGCCTAGGGAAAGGTGAAGAATACACACATGGGGAAAGGGTGAAGAATAAACACATTAAGGGCAAAAAAGCAGATAAACTATGGGACCTTGTATCATTACATGAATATTAATTCAGGACTTCGGGCGGTAAAAAACAAAAAATTGAAAAAATACTCAAGAAAGCAATCTTGGTGCCAATCAATTACCTCATCTACTAATGACTTCAATTTACTAGCAGTATCCTTTTTCAGCTGCTTCTTCCTCTTTGCTCTAAGCTCTTCTGCGCTCCATATTTAAAACAGTGAGTCTTCTTCAAGATAACTCATTTATTACATTAAAAAAAATGCGGAATCCACAAAATGACCATGTTCATGGGAGGGGTTCGACCTAGCATACAAAAATAATCAGAGACCATAATGATGATTACAGATTTGACCCTTTCAGTAGCTGTGGCATTTATCTACTCAAAATTACTCTCCTCAAGGTCTTATTTAAGTCAGCTTTAAGTGACTAGATGGAATTGGCGGCACAACAAACAACTAAGAGGGCTCAAGAGTAGCCCAGGCAAGAAAGGACGTGCTAGGCCCGGAAACATGAAAGAGTGCACTTGGAAAAAGAACGATTATCAATGAAAAGGAGAACAAAAATGTAAGGGTAAGAAGAGTAAGAAAGTACATGTTTACAACATCACAGCAAAAAAATTGAAAATTTCAAGTTCTTAAGGGAAAAATAAAATGGGGCTATCATGTTAGATTGGAAGGAAGAGAGAGAAACTCAGGAATTTCACTGCCAGTTCAACCAAAAGATGATTGGAAGGGAGTGGAAAGCAAACAACATAACAGAGGATAAAGTTGGGATTTGGGATTGTTATTTGTTACGAGGAATGGAACTACCAAGGCAAGGGAGCAACAATAAGATAGCAAAAGATAAAAGATCACCCCAAATAATGAATTGCGAGAAAGGGAAAAGGCAGCTTATTAGAACAAATCTTTACCTCCTAACTCAAGAAAATTGGACTTTGGGTGCATAAATCGACTTTTATGGTTGGCACATCAAGTTTCTCAAAATAATAATTTCTGAAATAATGGGTTTTGTGCATTTTATACAGGGTTTACACTTGCTGGCACTAAATCAATCAAACATTACTCAATGACAAACAAAAATATAATTCAAGTTTATATACTTAAAGATGCACAGTGAAAAGATCTCATCTCTGAACTGAGAATACATGAAGCCCTAAAGAAGCGATAGTTTTTAACACAAAAATTAACTTTCTAACAGAAATAAGTGCAAACATGGTGTCCTCATTGAAAAATCAGTTAGCACAAACCTTTTGCTGCATTAACTTGGTTCAAAAGATATTCCCTCTCTGAAGGATCATGTAATATTTGTTGAGCTTTTGCTAATGCTGAATAATAGACAAAGATAATGTCAGTGAATAATGGAAGCACGAATTTTGAACGCAAAAATAAGCTAAATAGAAAAGTTGAATTATATCTGTGTCTTGTCCCGGTAGCAAAAGAATGGACCAGAAATACTAAACTAATATGATGTTCCGTTGGCATGGAACTGATCTACTGTCACGAAAGGAGTAAAAATTACATAAATACACTATCTCCACTCAATGTCACATTTTGATTAACTACTGTATCTATCATAGTGATTAGCACTATCGCCAAAGTGCTAACTATTTCCACCTCCTCGAAGAGCAGTTTATTAGAACTAATACATAAATAAACTTACAAAAGCATATCCTAACAATAAACAGTAACACCACACCTGAAATATCATTGAACTTTCCAAATTGTGCGCTATATACTATAAACTAGACTCAAGGATTAATAAAGAGCCTATAATCATAGCAAATGGATTGGTTAAACTGGAATAAAATGTGGGAAAATAAACAGCTTCTGGTTCTCCCAAAAAGTCTACTACTACTGTTTTCTTTCTTTTTTCTTTTTGACAGATAATTCTCACCAACTGAAAAGGAAAATTAAAATCACTGAATAGAGCAACACTCTTTCACTGCATAGACACGCCATGGAAACAAAGTCATCACCAGTTTTATGAAACAATTACAGAGGTCATATACAGTGGACTAAATCCATAATCACATATTTCCTACCAAAACAAGAAGAGCTTACCACCAAATGCCTCCTTTGCTTGTGGATGTTTGCATTTATCAGGGTGAACTAGCAAAGATAACTGCAAGAAAACGAATTAATGTTAAACACGTTTCACTAATGTTCACGAATGATAAACAGAAATAGTCATTTGATATGACGAAAGAGATCACCTTACGATATTGCTTTTTCACTTCGTCTATAGACGAATCAAATGGTAGGTTAAGATATTCAAATGCATTCAGTTTGAAGCAAGACAGGATCCTACAGCAACCCAAAAGTAGTAAAGATATGGCAGAAGATGTAGAAATCAGAAATAAAAGCCGTGTGTGTGTGACAGTTTTTCTCTGTTTAGGTAAGCATGTACTGTACTATACAAATAGAAATCATAAACTGAAAGGATCAAAAAAAGCACATGTAAAAGAGAATTGTAGAAAGATACAAACTCCTTTAAAATATTCAGCCCCTGGCCATTATTGAGAAAAAATGATGTTTTGAATAGTGAATTTTTAGAGAATGTGTGGTTAAAAAGTAGGAAAAAGAATTGGATTTATGTGTAAAATATTTTATTATGTAAATGTGTAGTTAAAAATGAGTATGAGAATTTAAGAGTTTTGTTTTAAAGGGAGACAAACATGAGCTTAATATCCAAAATCAATTTAGCCGACTATTTTATTTTACATTTAAATTGGTCTTTTTCATATTGTCAATCAGTGATATTTTAGCAAATTTTTAGATTTATAGTATTAATCTTGGTGCAAGATCTGGTCTCAGTTCAGTTGTCTGTTCAACTAGTTTCCTTATACGGAGTCTATGCCCTGATAGGAATAGAGAATTTGTGGAGTCCATACACATGAGTGCACCTTTCTTTTATTAATTTGATAGATTTAGCAGTTGATTGTTTCCTGAGCTTTTGAAGCCTTTCTAGTGATTGTGGGACACAATCCATAACGAGTTACCATGGAGTTCTAGGTGAGATGCTTAGTTTTGCTCTTATTTTCTTTAATAAATAAAACATTCTTCAGAATTACGATACCCATCTTAAATTCCTATAATCAGAACCCTCCAAGGTTGTTGACCTCAATTATTGTGTATGTATAGGAGTGTTTTTGTACCAGATTTGTTAATTTAGTAAGCATTGTGCTAATAATTGTAGACACACAAGTATCCATATCATCCCATTAAACTGAAAAGCTATGGAAGAGCTGAGCAAATCTACCACCCCAACTCCTCTCATAAAATTCCCTGCAACACCCTCTCTGGTTCTGTATCAAGCAGTGAAAAAAAAAAAGGGAAAAGAAAATGCATAGCCAGTCGGCCCAGTCCTCCCATGATTTTACAACCACCACAACGGATTGGTGCACCAAAATGTAATCATTTTACACCAAAAAGGTCACTTGCTACAATAAGTCCCAACAAACAAATATTCAATCAAGGACCCACCAGGTAAAATACAGACTGCAAAATTTCAAATAGGTGGTTCCTGGAAGCTATTGCCTAAAATCCAATAGTTCAAAAAATTAACACAAAAGTTAGCCATTTGTCACTCAATCTACATAATCCTGTTATCATATTTTTGTATACTAGGTTACTTATTACTTAAAATTTTGAGAAGAAACGGAGATAAATGATGTTAATGGTCTGACTCAGTGAAGATGCGTTGATCGATCATCTTAAGGTCCAGATATATGAGGTGTTCAACTGTACTCTCCCCTTTAATTGCAATAACTATGTTGCCTCTATTTTGAGGTGGCAGGATTACAGTCTAACATTAAGAAAAACCACAACCACGCCCACAACTACTCAAAGTAGCAATTTTTTGACAGGAAAAAAAAAATTAAAATCTTAATAATACAAGAATCTGTCTAATAATGGAAAAAATCCTTCCATGAAACCATTAATTTTAAGACTTGCTTACAACATTATGCATCAGCTAGCTTTTAAGATGGAAATAAAGTAGTCCATTCAAAGATGAAGGCAGTGGGTTGACCTACACATGTATTATGATGTGATCTGTATCAGCAGGAACGAGTAGCAGCATATACAGAACATTCAGTGATGAAAGATATTATCTTCAGGAGGTCCAATGGGTGGCTGCCGGCTGGGTGCATAAACATTCTACAAAGTAGACACCTAAGACAATAAAACTATTGCTCTTAATAGACAACCCAACCATGACAATAAGTTTTCACACAGCTAAAAAATGCTTAACCGCTAGGATCTTCCTTCACTAATCTCAGAAAATGGGGATACCATTTGCAATTAACGATCAATAGGATGTCAAATAGGCAAACTTGAAATGCCACATCCTCCTATGATGCAGGTCTGTTTTCATGAATAACTTTTCAGTACTCTTGACTCTAGTCTAGAGCATGAAAGATCAGAAAAATCAAACCACCATAACAACCGCCATTAGCAGTGGCACTGCTTTAATAATCTCAGAAAATGAAGATTTGAAGCTGAAAATTTCATTATTTTTTTCTAAACCAATAGAATTCTGGGGTCCATCCTTCATACTGAAAGCAAATTATCACAACACTTGCACTCACTCTTGAATTCAAGATCGAATTTTTAACTTCATCAATCAAAGCAAACGATAGGGCAAGCTTACTCACCAATTTTCCTTTGTACAAATACATGCGAATGACTCCCAAGTTTAGTATTGAATGAAATAACATATTCCTGAATCCACTGGGAACGCCCAACTATTATTGTACCTATTAACACGTCTTCAAAATCATCTCGCACACTATATACTCCTGCAATCCCATATGTAACATACACAAAATTTCTCCTTCTCTATATATCTCAGACTTCGTAGTTCGAAAATTTCTCCTTTCCTATATTTCTTAAGACTTCGTAGTTCATATTCTTACAATACAACAGCGTTGGCCTTAACCATGGTCTCATTCATTTCACTAGAAATATAACGTTTTGCCACGCAGATAGGCACAAAGCCAGTTAAGGGCTTTAGTTTCATATATTTTTAGATATATATACAAACCAAAGAACAAAACACAACCCTACTTGATACCAATTAAACTAACTTTTTTGCCACCATAAATCCATATCGATAAACACGTAAATAAAACCTGTTGACTTCGTTGTCTCGCTCAACCTCGCCGACTTCGGCGAAGAATTGCTTGAGCAGTAAATCGTCTGCTGCGGTAGAATTGGCTCTACTGTTGTCTCCCATCGGGAATCGATGAAAAATATTTGCTTTCTTTCCCAAAATCGACCGGAAATATGTATAATTCAGATTTGGGCCTTACAGTTTGGGGCTGGTAGGCCCAGACCGTCCCCTAGTTCATACTGTTCTAGAGGAATTAAAATGGGCAACTTACAAAAATAGCCCTAAAATTGAGATCTTTTGAAAAATCATATGAATAGTATTTTGATAGTAATAAATATTGTGTAAAATTAAGTGTCATTTTGTTATTAAAAAGTGACACAATATCACTTCTTTTATATAAAAAAAAGTGATACTTAACTTTATCACTTGTTTTATATAAAAAAGTGATAAAGTTAAGTGTCGCTTTTTTAATTAAAAAGTGATGTTTGTCACTAAAAAAAGTGATAAAAATTTCAATAAAATGATAGGAAAAAAGTGACGAACAATATAAAAAGTGATAAAAAAAAATTTTTAAAAAGTGACAAACACTAAAAAAAAGTGACAGGAAAAAAAAAAGGCAAAACGCTAATTAAAACCTTAGAATCAGTTTAATAAACTCACATAAATTAAAAAAGTGACAAAAACTTTAAAAAAAAAGTGATAAAACACCAATTAAAATCTTGGAATCAATTCAATAAAGTGACGGAAATTTAAAAAGTGACAAACACTTCAAAGAGTGACAAAAATCCAAAAAAGTGACAAAACACCACTCAAAACCTTGTAACTTTTCTACATCGTGAAAATTTAATTCACATTTAACACAATTCAAAATAAATTAACATCACGCTAACTTGTATTAACTAAATATAAAACATAGCCTTATTTTAGGGGCACGGCAACATATAAGTTGGAAGTGATAGAAATTAAAAAAGCGACGACAATTCAGAAAGTGACAAACACTAAAAAAAATTGACAAATAATATTAAACATTTTCAAGGATGTATTCAACTCGAATGTGTGTTCCATGCGTCCTCCATTGCAGCTTTTATTATCCTTTTCACAATCAATCTAGCTCCTGCTTAGGTAAAGAGAAATTAAATGAAATAAATCAGGCACCGAGAGTGCATAAAACGAGTCTCTGACGCGATGTTCTTCCTGTAAAATGATGTAAAGAAGTGAGAATCGATATTGTGAAGGTGATTTAACCGCAACAAACTAAAATGAACTCTCAATAAATTTTGGGATGTTATAGAAGTAAAAGGTTGCTTTAAACACATAATGATCGAAACACAAAAAAAAAATTACAGCTCACATCTTAATTTACCGGTGGAAGGATGAGGATTATATCAATGGCTAACACAAACATTTACGTCAATGTACTCATAATCCCGAGATATTTAGTTGCCATTTTTTCCCACTTTGATTTGCAAAGACCTAAGTTCAAAGAACGTCATCGTCAAACATTAATCTAAGAACTATTTAATTAAACATATAGAGAAAGAGACTCAACAGCATTAAAGCCTATGTCCCTTAGTCAAGACATTTAACCAATGCTTCAATTTCGACGAGCTGTAATCACAGATTTCCTTGTAGGCCATCTACCTCAGCGTGAATGTTTCTTTTAACATCTTCATTTTCACACCCCGACACTTTTTTCAATGTATCTTTCAATTCAAAGTGGTGAGAATTGCTGTCCAATTCAATCTCATTATCATCTTTCTCTTGAATGTCTTCTTCACTTTCTCCCTATTAAAAGAGAGAAATGAGGTCGAGTGTACAGAATTTGATCATAATGTGGTGGCTCCTAATTTTTTTGCAGCGAAAATGTAATGAAAGGTACAGTTGTATTTTTAGTTGAAGATTCTTTATTATTATTATTATTTTAATTATACATTCTCCTAATAAAATAATTTACATATAAATTCAATATTTTTCCTATTTTCAAACTACACAATCTTCAAAGAAATAACCATAACAAAATCATTTTTTT